GGTTACGTATTTCTGTTGCATTTGCCTGCCAAATGAGTGATGGAATCAACAGAGTATAAAGGAAAAGGAAACGGAAAAGCAAGACTGTTTCTGTACAGCTTCTCAGGATGGCAAATACTTCACATGCTCTGGAGTTCTAAATGCAAGTAAGTCCTTTAAGCAGCCCCACTTAGTTTGGTTTGCTCTTTGCATGTTCATTGAAGATATAATTGATCCAGCCATTCACAGAAAACATGAACAGTAGCAAGCACAGAGAGGATCCCCAAATTTCCATGAATCAGCATCGGGTATGCTGGGACAATGCACAGGTTCCTAAAATACCACCTAGATGCAGCCTGCAGGGAGCTACTGTTAGGCAGCAGTCTGTACCCTCAGCAGTGCCACCCAGTATTAGGGTAGCACCAGCTTCAAGGCTTAAGCTAACTGCCAGCTGGATAGGCTGGGCTTAGTACATCAGCCCAGGCCCTTCACTTGGGCTTTGCTGCTCAGTGCCTCACACCCTCCAGCAGCTCTGCTTAGCTCCCACCTTGCCTCTGCCTTGGACTCTGGTACCTTACTCCTGCTAACCTTGTTGTGTGTGTGTTCTAGACTCCCCAAGTCCTGACCCTGGCCTGGCTGAGGCTACGCTATAGAAACTGCTATGGACTAGGAATGCGACTCAGATGCTGTAGTTTTGACTTTTGTGCAGCCTTGGCCCCTGATCTGGATTCCCCACAGACTCAGGTACTTGTTTAAACCCACGCTCCGCAGAACTACTTATGCTCCAATCCTTACAGTCTGAGTGGCCAAAAAAGATCCTTCCCCACTATCCCTGAGGGAAAGCATGTAATTACTTCTCATCTGGACGTGCCCCTGGCCCCACTCCCAATGGAGGCTTTGATGGTCAGCCTACAGAACCTGAAGGCCCAAGCAGGGGCTCTGCAGGCACAGAATACAGCCCTGTGGACCAATCTGTGATGCTGAAGAAGGTAAATGTGGCTCTGGCAGGCACAGGAGGCATAAGCTGCTACTATGGTTGCCCCTTTAATATCTGGCTCCTTCACATCCCCCTGAACCAAGGTACTCCTGGCCCAAGCAATTTGATGCAACTCCAGGGCAGTTTAAGGATTTATTGAACTAGTGCAAGCTCCTCTTCCCCCTGTGCCCTCAGAATAACCCCATGAACAGAGGGTAGGCCTAATGGCCAACGCTCTTGCCTGGGTTTCTATACTCTTGGAAGGCTACGGTTTCCTGCTGGACACCCTAGAAAAATTAATCAAGGCCATGAATGGACTGTGTGGTAATGCCCTTTTGTTGCAGTGACTGCCCTGCAGGCCCTAAGTGTGTCTCTTAAACCTTGGCCAGGTATACAATGGAATTTTGTTCTCTGACAGGTAACGTGCAGTGGAATAAAGTTACCCCTTCCATTTCCATGGGGGATTGAGGGATGAGGTAAAAGATGAACTAGACAGAATCGAGGGTCTCGTTCGTCTAGACCCACATAGGTCTATGCATCTGCATACACTACTTCCTAAGAGAATGGTGGAGCGGGGTGTGGCTCCTCCACTCATGCCCCAAAGTCATCAACTTCTCCCGGAGGACCAAACAACTGAATCAGTGCAGGTGGATGCAAGTATGACCACGTCTACCCAAGGAAGAAAGGAATTGATGGAATTGCAGGCTTATGCTTTTACTACATAGAGGGTTGGGGGAGGAGGCCAGATCACATGGTTATTACCTTCCCTGCTAAAAGATGACGTACTACCTAGGCAGGAAACTCAGAGAGAGAGCTTCAATGGGGGCTGGACATGTCTCTTAAGTTTCCATGCTTTACCCTGTTCTGTCTGCTGCAAGAGTTAATGTTGCTGCAGGTCACTGGCTCTCATCTCCAAGTGATTCTCTACCCAAGTTACCCAACTATGGCTAAGGTTCACGAGTTAGCAATGGTGGTTTCAAAGACATCCGGTTTTCTGAGGTTCACTGCATTTCTGCCCCACAGAGGGCCATGCCTTTTAAAACCAGCTCCAGGCCCAACATCAATTTCAAGAGGCCATACAAAACAACATAACTGACATCATCTGACCTATGACATGTGGCCCAAAGAAGTCCCAGGAGTCAGTGAGCCAATGGAGATCAAGCTGCACCTTTACGGGGGTCTCAGTATCTATGGAACCCCCTCTCAGAATTCCTCACAATTGCCCAAGCTCGCCTACTTCTCCCTCACTTCCTGTGCATCCCAACCCAGCTCAGCTCTGCTCAACAACATCACAGGGACTCCTCTGCTTTTCTCTTCCCACTTAGAGTACTAAATTTCAATATAGATCCTGTACAATCAATGGAAACCTACTTAAATCAGGGATATTGGTATAAATTAAATCAATATAATTCAATAGCAATTAAAAGTGTAATCTTTTGCAATTCCATAGACAACTTACATCAATAAGCTCGTTACAATTGATTTTTCATTGAGAAACTTCTGGCCTTTGATGAAGGCACTCTGGTCTATTCGTTTAGTGTTATTCTGAGGATTAATATTTGTAGTATAGACTTTAAAAAAAAACTATGAGCCATAAAGGGAAGTAACTCAATGTACTACCAGCAGTATTTTTGATTATTTTGTTGTGGTCAAATATTGAAAGCAATAAAGAGAAAGAATCCACATACAATATAAGATTACAGAAAAGTTTCAAACTTTAAAAGAGACTTGCATTTCATATTATCGTCAGGTTGTAGGAAATACTCTCTCCAGATTAGATTTCACAGAAGTGGAAACTACTACACACATCTGTATTTGTCTTTGGATACGACTGATAAGATACTGATCTGTTTTCATCCACGTTTGTGTGAAGCCATGGTGCACTTCCTGAAAGTAAAATTTGAGAATTTGTAATCTTGAAATCCTGTAAACACACAGAAATTACTTACTTCATACCTGGACTGATTATATATGGGATATAGATGGACCACCTTATATATACTATAAATACTGGAGGCTACAAGCGATACAGAGCAGAGGGGAAAAACCCCTGGTCATACCCAATTCACTCTCCCTTTCAGCATCCGTTTTCTGCCAATGTGACACAGGATACCGGGCAATATGGACCTGAGGTCTACCCCACTAAATGGCAATGTTTATGGGTATCCTTACGTTTTCTCCGGGATCAGGGGGAAGAAAGGGAGGTGCTTTAATTAAAGTGGCTCCAAGAGCAGCTGTAATTAAAACGCCTGCAGCATCTCATGTATTTAGCGTCCTGTGCTTCAAAATGTTGGCAGGAGTAATTTAACTAAAGCTTGTTTGATGAGCTTTAGTTAAAAGTGCTCCCACCAGCATTTTGAAGTGCAGGGATGCTGACAGCATGTAGGAGCAGCAACCCCACACATGTACAGGAACCCTATGTTCCTATCTGAGGGCACCTATACACGTGACCAAACTCTGCTCTGACACGTGTTACTTAGCACACGTCAGAGCAGACTCAATTAAATCAAGTTTGCTGTAGCATGCTAATTAGCACGTTCCATCAGCCTCTGCATCACATGTATTCAGTGTCTCCATGTTTCAAAATGGCAGCAGGGGCTCTTTAATTAAAGCTCATCAAACGAACTTTAGTTAGAGCACCCCGATGTCATTTTGAACCATGGGGAACTGAATACACATGACACTGCATGCACTGTAAATAGAGAGGCTCTCAGAGCCACTCTAATTAAAGCGCCCCCCCACCTCGGAGCACGTGTATAGACACCCTGAAAGGCTGCAGCTTGCAGAGACTGAGGGTGATCCGAGTTCCAGCTGGGGCACACTACTGCAAAAGAAGGAACACACACACTGCTCTTTTCTGGAGAGTCTACACTTTCATCTTGTTCTCTTCACCCAAAACAAAAATCTGGATGAACAAAGTTGCATGAACAAAGTTTCCCAGGATAACCGCAGGATTGTAACACAACAACTTATCATAGAATCATAGGGAAGTAGACCTGGGTTGGGACCTCTAGAGGTCATCTGGCCCAAACCACTGCCTGAGGCAGGATCATCCCTATCCAAACCATCTCATACAATTCACAATCTAAACTCTACATAAAACTACCCTCAGCTCTGATACAACATAGACCTAATGCCCTAATCTGCCACAGATAAAGCAGGAGAACCACGGCAGCCGATGTCCTGCTTTATGAAATGTTGTCAATAAACACTAAAGAGATCCTGGGTAGAGGGCCATGCCCCTGTTACAAAGGGAGGCAAAACCCCCTACAGTCCATAACATTCTGATGATGGGGTAAAATTCTTTCCTGAACCCAAATACGGTGATCTGTCGGACTCTGAGAGGAGGGCAAGACTCTCTAACTAGGAACCTCTAGCTTTGCTCCCAGCGGGAGTTTTGGCACACCCCAGTCAAAGGCCCCATCCTTGGTTGTAGCCAACAACCACTGCCTCTGGAAAGTCTTAAAAACATCCTGACACATGCAGCAGAAAGGGGAGAGGGGTGGAGGCATTCATCAAGGCCTAGAAGCATGGGAAATAACCATGGGAGAACATAGGCATAGCTAAACCCCGATCATCCCTGACCAGTGGCTTAATTTAGGGAAAGTTTAAAAATAAAACATTCATGAAAACAGAGAAAACTTCAGTTTCGCCTAAGAAAGCAGCAATTTGAACTATCCATTCAGTGTCTTGGACAGTGATATATTTCATTACCTATAACAGTGTCTGTGTACGGTGGGAGAAAATCCACTAAACAAACGGGAGTGGGAGAAAAGATTTGTAGTAACTTCTACTGTCCCCACAGATGAAAGCATGCATCATAGATGACATCAGCTTGTGAAGACGGAAGGAGATTTCAACCCTATGACAAGTCAGTGATGATTTGAGTGATTTGCCTGCAGAGCTAGTAAATTAAATTTGACACTGAAAAGTTGTTACTCTTTACACTGACAGTCAGTTGAATAATGTAGAATCCACCACATTTATGTGCGTAGAGGGGTGCATCACAATCCCTGGTCTGGCACAGCCACAAGTAGAAAAGTAAGGCTGGACTGAAAGACCTATGAAGGACAGGTGAACCCTGCACTGCAGAAGAATGATCCTGGACCATCCAAATTAAGATCCAGTGTAGTAAGGAATGAGGGAGAGATCCTGCCAGCAGGAGCCTAAAGAGGCAGAGGGTCTGCCTTATGGGACAGCAAGGCACTCTGCCTCCATCTCTACTCCAAGAACTCCCAAGGAAGGCCTAAACTATACTAAGGGGCACTGCATTTGGGACGTCTCTTGTTTTCACACAAAACGGGTGACAACTGGCTGGATGGCAACACTACAGACAAGGATCTTGGAGTCCTGGTGGATCACAGAGTCGATGAGTCTGCAGTGTGATGCAATTGCAACACAAGGTGAATGCAGTTTTGGGTTGCTTCAATGAGAACATTAGTTGCAAAACACCTCTTTACTTGGCACTAGATAGGCCTCTATTTATGTATAGTTTTGGGGTCCATCTTTTTAAAAAGGACACAGCGGGGTCCAGAGGCAGGAGACAAAAATGATAAAGGGTTTGGAAGGCAAGCCATATGAGGCTAGGCTGCAGGAAATAGGCATGTTCTGTTTGGAGAATAACGGTGCTTAGGATGAGACAGGATAGCAGCCTTCAAATACCTGAATGGCTGCCATAAAGAAAAGGGAAAGCACCTTTTCTCTCTTGCTACAGAGAGGATGTGAACCAATGGCCTGAAGTTGTCCAATCTAAGCCTACTTTGCTGCATCAGGCAAAAAAACCTTCTTCAGAGGCAGTGGAATAGACTGCCTCGGGAAGTTGTGGAATCTCCACCATTGGCAGTGTGCAAGAAGAGGTTGGATAATTTCTTGTAAGGGATGATCTAATCGTAGCTATGCGTATGCTCTACTATGGGTGTTTCCCACGCTTCTGGGTTTTTGTGGTTGCCACATGGGGCTGGGAAGGAATTTTCCCCCCTCCTGTTGCAATATATATTGGGGTGGGCAGAGTGTGGGAGTGTTTGCCTTCCCCAGAAACACTGGGTATTAGCTACAGCCAAGGCAGGAGAGTTTAACTGGGGTGTGCCGGTGTTCCTGCTGGGACTAAAATCTTACACTGGGCTGTTGCCAGCAGGGCTTGCAGTGTCCGAGCTTCCTGCTGGGAGCAACCTGGGCTCCCGGCTGGCAGCAGCTCCCCAGAACCAGGGCAGACTGCAGCCCGGAGGCTCCAAACAGCTGTGCCGGGCTCCGGCATCAGCTCCGCACCGGCTTGTGCACTTGCACGTCAGAGCAGGCAGTGGGGGAGGGACCTGAGGCAGTGCAGCCCCTGTCTCTCCCCCGCTTCCAGCACAGAGGTGATGGCAGGGCTCCTGAGTCCAGCAGAGCTGTTTGTAGCCAGCCTGGGGTTTGGGCAGCTGCAGCAAGCAGTGGGCAGGCTGCAAACAGCTGCGTCAGGCTCCACAGCTTCGGCATCAGCTCCGTGCTGGCAGCAACTGCGCGTACACCTCAGAGTGGGCTGCGCTGCCCCACTGTCCACTCCGAGGTGCGCACACAGTTGCTGCCAGCATGGAGCGGATGCCAGAGCTGTGAAGCCCAGCACAGCTGGTTGCAGCCTGCCTGCTGCTTGCTGCAGCTGCCCAGAGCCTGGGTTGGCTACAAACAGCTGCGCCGGGCTCCGGAGCCCTGCTATCACCCCTGTGCCAGAAGCAGGGGAGAGACCGGAGCTGCGCTGCCTCAGGCCCCTCCCCCACCACCTGCTCTGATGTGCGAGTGCGGAGCTGATGCCGGAGCCCAGCACAGCTGTCTGGAGCCTCCCAGCTGCAGCTGGCCCCGGCTCTGGGGAGCTGCTGCCAGGCGTGAGCCCAGGCTACTCCCAGCAGGCAGCTGGGATGCTGCAAGCCCTGCTGGGAGCAGCCCGGGCTCCGGAAGCTACCCAGAACCAGGGTAGCTGCTGACAGCCACAGAGCCTGGGCTGGGGAGCAGGGACTTTGGGTGGGGGCATAGGGCAGCGGGTCTGGGGTACACAAGCAGGGCATCCTGCTATGTACCCCTTGCCCTCGTTTTGTTTTTCTGCCATGCCAGCACTCTGGCACCTTCCAAAAGTAGGCATTGTGGTGTTTTTCGGCACTCTGGCCAAAAAAATGTTGCCTACCTCTGGTCTATAGATTCAGCGAGGCCAGGCTGAGAGCATCACCGCACTGAGACAGTGGCGTGAGTGCATTCTCACCACCTTTCACCAGTATTAATTTGATAGGAACATAGGAATGGGATAAATCTGGGTCACTGAATCTGTGCCCTGCAATTGCAGGCAACCGTATCACAGACATCTGCCCAAAGAAGTCCACAAGACTCTCTCCCTACCAGCCCCTCCTAGACACCACAGCCACAATGTACTCTGTTCAACCCCAAAACAACTTGGATCCTGAGTATAGGGAAAACGAAAAAAATTGCAGAGCCTCAAAATAATAATATAATACATCACAGGGAGAAACAAACAAACACACATTGCTAATGAAGTCTGCAAGGCCTGTGCTAGCCATATTTTAAATATGTGCCATTCTGGCTGGACATTTCTAACACATGCAGATACAAATGGCAGAGACTGATGAGGTAATATCTTATTCACTCCAGGGCAGGTCACAGAGTTCCTGCCATAAATAACACTAGTGACTCAACTGGTATTATTTGCTTCCCTTATTTATTTGTTAAGCACAGGAAAAGGGTACACGATAGCTACTGGGCTACTCTACTATAGATAATTCATGCTAATCCATTCCAGTAGACAGCAGATTCTGGTTGGTTTCATCTTCAGATGACAGACATTTAATATATTTTATGGCTTAAAAATCAATAACTGAGAATATTTTTGCATTTCTCTCCCACT